ATTTCTTGGGAATGCTCTGATCGTAACTGTTCTTCTCGAGGAGTCTTCCCTTCATCCGCCGTCCAAACTGTTGCTTTGTTGCCTTACAACAACTGATCTCTGTGTGGGTGTTATAACAGAGCCTCTCGCTATTACCAATTGGATGTCTATGGCGGATGAACATTGGAATGTTTGTGGCTACGTATACACAGTAACTTACCTTTGAGGCTCAATTTTGGCTGCAGTGTCTCTGTGTACATTGACTGCAATAAGCGTGGACAGACTTCTCTCCCTGTTGTTGAGGCTGAGATATAAACAAGTTGTCACTTTAAAGCGAACTTACGTGATCGTTATTACATTTTGGGTTGTACATGCTGCCTTTTCGGCAGTGTTTATTTTGGTATTCCTTTATAACCTTATGTTATGCCATCATAGCTATATCACTGTGTCTAGTGACCTCAATCTTCTCTTACACAAAAATTTTCCTCAATCTCCGTCATCATCAAAATCAAACACAAGACCATGTTCAACAACCGAACCAAGCAAATCAACTGAACATAGCGCGATACAAAAAGCCGTATCTACTGCAATATGGCTGCAACTGACGCTGGTCGCTTGCTATTTACCGAATGGTATAGTGATGGCTACGATAGTTAAAAGCGGACTATCTACAGCTAGTTTCTACGCCTGGAATTATGTACAAACTCGTCATTGAACCCGAATTCTTAACTGTTGGAAGATAGAAGAAGTCAGACAAGCAGTGAAGAACGCAATCAGACAAGTACTGTGCCTTTGTTTTTCGAGTTAGCTCTTGTAGACTAGAACGATGAAAAAGTTCTCCTAAAGGTCGTCTTAAATAAAAAGTGGTGCTCTAACATTTTAATTTACCGCTTTTACATGTTTCTGTAGCCGTCAAAGATAGTTTCTTCATTGCTGTGAACAAACTTAAAGAAATGTATGTTTCAAATGGTCACCTGTAAGTTTTGTAACTATATACTGACTGACAATAAAAAATGAAAAACAACATTTAGATTGAAATCCATTTCCGCCTGATCTACGTTGCACAAAATTCAGAAACAGTTTAAATTACGGTTTTTATAGATCTTCCGGCTGGGGTGTCTTTTGTTAAAGCGAAGTTTGGGGGAAACAACTCAGTTTGACTTCAATTCTCTTCAGTTTGGTTACTTGTTCTTTATTTCACAGATCCTTTCAGTTACAGCAAATCTTAACCGGCGATTATTGATCTGGACCGATTTCAGCAACTGCTATAACAACTAGGAGTTCACTCGTCACGTTCCTGTTAAAGGGATAACGACATGATCCATCAAATCACTGTCAAACTGTCGATTAGGCTAACGTAATGTCATCCGCAGTTCGCCTAAGGTTCTATTGCGACTGCGCGCAAAGGTACTTAGCATATTCTCCTTCGAGGTTATCTAGGTTAATAGTTGACTAAAACATTTTCTTCCCTGATTTTAACCGACCATTCCTAAGTGGTTGACCAAACTACGGTAACGTGAGTCGTACAAAAGTTACAGTCTTGATTTTTATTGATTAAAACCTTGGGATAAAAAAAAAAAAAAGTCGGAAAAGAAAAGTTGTTGTCATAAATTTCCCGCAACATAAGTGTTACTAAAAAAGTGATTGCACAATCAAACCTTCGTGGGTTGGCCTTTCTCAAATTCTGAATCCGCCTAGTTCCATATCATTATCTCAGTGTACGTGCTCTCAAGTCTAAACATATTCAAAGAGACGCTATAGTGCTATTTGTGATACGCACACATTTCTTTCCACTTTGAAACTTTACAGCCTGTTCCTAAATTGTTTGAAGTGAGTCTGACAGCTTTTCTTCCTTTCGCTCTGGCTGACAAACGGCGATGTCCTTTATTTCATTAAGAAATGAATATAAGCCCAAACGGATGCAAAGGAAACACAGAAATAAAATTCTGTTTTCATTTCAATTCACATTTCATGAGGGTCGAGAAAAACATGCTTAGTTCGTATAGTGTGATCGTCCGGGTGAGTGTAGTTCTGAAAAGAACTGTTGTTGGTGACTGACGTT